TGGTGCAAACGACTCTGCAAATTGGGAGCACTGTATGATAAGAATATAAGCCAACTTTTTCGTCGACCCAGCATGACTCTTGACGTAGCGGTTGATGAAAGTCGTTTCCAAGGATTTTACAGCTGTTCCAACTTTACCGCCTTCAGATTGAATTTCAAATATTGTAGAGCAATTCGGAACCACGCCAATCATACCATACTGAAATTCAATTTTAGATCATCACAAAGATGAACCTAAAACAGCCTCATTCTAGAAGGTAGAGTGAATGATATACCTTTGTTCCCATGGGAAGCACCGGATAAGGACTCAAACTGCAGTCCAGCTGATTTTTCTTCCATATCGTATCCATGACTTCTAGGACTTGCAGAACCAACATATCTTGTCGTAGATCTTGAAAAAAGAAGCCGTTGCCAGTAATCAAACTATGAAACTAGATAAAAGATTGATATGCTCACCATCTCCATTTTTGAATATGATTTCATAACTAGGCAAGTGATACTCAGAGAGAGGACTTCGGTTCTGCCAAGACAAAAGAAGAGGCATCTTAGCACTGCCCAACACACGACATTTGTCGATTCTAAATAGCTGCTTGAAAATTTTGAGAGATTATCTGCCAAAGCAAACTGACCTCAGCTGACCCAGGGCATTGCTAGGATCTAAGGGAGAATCAATCTTTTCTAAGCTAGGGCAATGATTTCTTAATTCTTCCCGTAGGCGCTGAAAGAAAGAACAGTGGTAAACATGTAGACCTTGAAGAGTACGACTCTTACCTCCGTCGCGGCATCTTTGTCTCCTTTGTATCCCTTCACCAGTACGCTCAACTCATACAGAAGATCTACCATTTCGACCTGTACAAAAAATTCTCAAGTTATTCCTGTCAATTAATAATATCCGGAGACATTACTCATAAGAAAAAAATATGATCAGGGATGAAATACAAAATAATAGCGTGAATTGCATGACAAACTACTTCACATGCACTACTTACCTGCTTCACAACTGTCCGAATGTGCTCATCATTTCCACGCAAGTATGCTTCAATTATCAGAGCAAATCGCTTGTATAATTCCGTCAGATGTCCATCATTATCTCTAAAAAACATACGTAGAACCGCGCCATTTGGAATGACTACACATAAAGAAGAATTTACTTGAGATTAGCAAGTTCTGCTCTAAGCAGCCAAAACAGTTTGTGTCCAGTACGATAATCACTGAGAGCTTTCTTGAGCAGTAAACATGAAAGTGGAGAATATGACCAAGCTTCGCATTTGAGTGCCTGTAAGGAGATAGGATTGGAGGTTTAGAAGAGTTGAAATGTGAAGAAGAGCATCAAGAAGCCAAATACAGATAAGTGCATATTCTACAATCAAAACAGTTGGAAAAGTTTCATGCAGGTATTATTACTCAAATTTAAATGGTCAAACAATTCAGTTCTGACATACAGATCAGCAG